TTTTCATATGTTTTAGCCTCCAATCCGCTAATCATCTTTGTTGGTCCTCTCTGCACTCTTTCCAGAATCTCAACATCTTTTTTGAATTGTGGTGACCAGAACTGGATGCAGTATTCCAAATGAGGTCTTACTAAGGCTTTGTAAAGTGGTACTAAAACTTCATGTGATCTTGATTTTATCCCTCTATTAATGCAGCCTAGGATTGCATTGGCTTTTTTGGCTGCTGCCGTATACTGTTGGCTCATATTTAAGTCATTGTCCACTGGGATTCCAAATTTCCTCTTGCAGTTACTGGCATTAAGCCACGTTTCACCTTGTCTATACCTATACAATTGATTTTTCTTACCTTTGCATGTGTTTGTTAAACCAAACACATGCAAAGTTTGGGTGTGGTCCTGAACATAAAAACTTTAAAAAAAAATAGAGGGAAGAAAAGGATAAATAAAACTAACAAAATAGTAAGAAGGTTAAATAAATAACAAGGTAGCACAAACAGGCAGAAAAAAAGGATAGAAAAATAGACATAATTACCCAGAATAGAGAAGCTAGAAACAAGGCTAACAGGAAAGCACATCCACGAATGAAAAGGAGGGTTTTCAAACAACAAACTCATGGAACAGGTGACTGATACTATTGTGGTATGCAATACATGTTCCATGTATGCGCTCATGCCCAAAGAACACCCAAACTATACATGTATTAGATGCAAATTATATGAACTACTACAGGAAAAAGTTAGGAACTTAGAGGCAACTCTAGCCAAACCGCAATGTACGAAAAAAAGCTCCACCCAAACCAAACCAAATAACGAACAAATAACTCCCAGAGGATTTGACCCTACTAATAAACCCTTGGAGGAAGACAAATGGAGGTATGTCACACACAGAAAGAAACACAATACTCCAAGAAAGAAACAGCATACAACAAACAAACCCCTTCTGCCCAATCCTACCCAACCAGAAGCAGCCCCATTAAAACTGAGCAATCGATTTCTCCCCTTAGATGGAAACATGCAGATCCACAACCTCACCCTCAAAGAAAACATGCAGACACCTAGCAAAGAAACAACTTCAAATATCCCTTAAAAAGTCACTTCAAATATCTCTAAAAAGCCACATCAACAAACACACCTGAGATAAACAGAGAAGCACCACAAAAAAAAGTGTTGGTCATAGGAGATTCTATTCTCAAAAGAACAGAATCATCCATCTGCAGACCAGACATACAATCCAGAGAGGTATGTTGTCTCCCTGGAGCAAAAATCAAAGATGTGGCTGAGAAACTCATGAATGGAATGGACTGATGTTCAAATTGTTCAAAAGAAACAGGTCTACGAAAAGAGGAGGGGGAGTTGCACTATATGTAAGAGAACACTACATATCTACAGAAATGCACGTGATCAAAGATAAGATCTCTCCAGAATGTAGATGGGTCAATATAAAAGAGAAAAAAAGTGACATTGCCATAGATGTATTTTACAGGCTACCCAACCAATCAGAAGAAATAGATGAACTCTTTGCCAATCAGTTAACAAACGTAATCAGTTAACAAACGGACCCGGATACCTTCGAGACCGCCTCCTGCCGCAGATTACCCCCCATCGACCTGTACGCTCCCACAGAGTGGGTCTCCTCAGGGTGCCGTCAGCCAGACAGTGCCGGCTGGCGACCCCAAGGGGGAGGGCCTTCTCTGTGGGAGCTCCCACCCTCTGGAATGAACTGCCCCCAGAGATCAGGGTGATCCCTGATCTC